CGTCTACAGATTCTCTCTCTCTATTGTGAAATTGAGAATTTAGCCATATATGTGGGTATACTGCAGATAGACAATACATAATTCACCTAATAGCATTTAGTGACCTTCACACTAATTTTAGCAATTTCGCAACTATCTTGGAAAATAAAATAGCATTACAAATTTGCAGTGGAACATAGGGGTAAAATAAGATGAATTTTGAACAGTTTCTCCTCACATTTTACACACCCATATTTCTGATCCACTGTTCACACTCATAATTTCTATACCATGATAATTCTGCTGTAAATAAGATTTTAATTTAGCATGTAGAAAATAAATTATTTTGAGATTTAAAAAAGCTTATAAAATTGTCACGTTTTAAAAAAACTAAATGAGATTAGATTTACAAACAACTTCATGTGAAACTGATATAGACTAAAAATACTTTCTTTTGTTCATCATTTCCTCTAACACACGATTAGCGCACATGGTTAATCAGAGCCACATTACACATCAACATGAAAAATAATAGGTAATTCTGCCTCCACGCAAGTACAGATTTTGTTGTATACAACTACATACCTTAACATGTCTCATAGAAACTTTATACCAAACTCTACCTGGCATAAAACCTATTTTAGGTTTCAGTATCTCATACATTCAGAAGAAATGCACAATCCAGCAGGATCTATCAACCCAATGTAGCAGGGGTAGGTTCTACATACCTTTACTACCAGTTCGCAGCGGGGCTGCGCATGCTCTTCAGAAGCATTTTCATGACATCAGGGTCAGTGGGCGGAGCCTCCCACCGGTTTTACTACCGGTTCTATAGAACCGGTGCGAACCGGGGGCAACCCACCACTGCAATGTAGGTAGGTGATGTATGTATGATGTTCTCCATTATATGCCAAGCAAACATTAACCAATAAATGAAACATTTGAGTTCCAGTCTCAAGTTTTCTAATGACAAAGAGGCACACAATCTACCACGAAACAGTCTTTCAACAGATACTCTGTCAAACTAGGCAATATTTATTCTGGCATAAAGATTTGTGCAGTTACTTTGGATAGAATTCCAAAAAGATGTTTCATAATTTCTGCAGATCCAAAATAGCACCTGTTGGCAACTCTTGGAAGCATCCACTTCTTTTCCTGGGAATTGCATAGTCCTTCAATCCTGGAAAAAAGCTGCAGCCGTTTTAAAGAGTTGCATGCAAATACCGTTATTTATAGTCTGATGAGCTTGAAAGCATCTTTTGGGAATTGAATCCAAGTATTTCACAGGCCTAATAAGTATCAGTAAAGTTGGTTAGGTTTCTAAATTTTATACACACACACTCACACACATCTTTACAGTTTGATCACACCAATTTCTTTCTTTCTTTCTTTCTTTCTTTCTTTCTTTCTTTCTTTCTTTCTTTCTTTCTTCTTTCTTTCTTTCTTTCTTTCTTTCTTTTCTTTCTTTCTTTCTTTCTTTCTTTCTTTCTTTCTTTCTTTCTTTCCTTCCTGTCTGTCTCTCTGTCTATCTATCTATCTATCTATCTATCTATCTATCCATCTATGCATCCAAATTTTGATCATGTGATCATGGGGATGTTGCAATGGTCATAAATGTGAAAAATTGCCATAAGTCACTTTCTTCAGTGCTGTTGTAACTTTGAATGGTCACTAAATGAACTGTCGAGGTCTACCTGTAGAAAAAAAGATTGCACACATGGACACACATGCACACAAATAAGAACATAGCTTGCTAGCTGCAGTGGTATGTGAAGGATGAAGGGAAGAGATACTGACCAGGGAATGGTCAGAAAAGAGGGGGAGGAGCCCACAATTCTTTAATGGACTGAGAAATAAATTTAGGAAGGACCTACTCTAAATGATCAGGCTATAAATAGAAATGGCTGGAGATTTTACTTTTAGATTTGCAAGATTCTATTAATGTAACCTTAGAATAAAGTAGAATTAGATCATCTGGTCATGTTTCCTGTCCGGTTTATCTGGAAGGGCTGACACCATCTGATACACATGGAATAGTAACAAGAAAGTTAGATATGGAAATAATGTGTACAAAACAGCTCCTCCTGGGTTCAACCACGCTCATATCAACTCCATTTCTATATTTTAATTGTGTTTGCTCTAACTGTCTCACTCTAAACCCTCATTGTATGAATTACTGATTCGAGGCTAAGAAAAATCCATCAACTGGGGAAATTCCTACCACGTGAAATAAGATTGATTCACCACCAGAAAAAATAGACAAATTTATGGAACATAAATATATCAGTCACTGCAAAATTATGATGATTCTGTATTAATTCCAGATCGGAACCAGTATGTCTCTCAACATTAATTCCTGGCAAACACTGTCAAGATTAACTTCTATGTTACTTGTGGACTTTCCATTGGCTCCTAGTTGACCATTGAATCTGATCCAAACCAGCTCTGTGTGTATAAGTGCAAATGTTATCAGGAGATCCTGTCCACAGTTTTTACTCAAAGAACCAAAACTGAACCTGAAGCTGGAGAATGCATAGCTTTTGTTAATCCTGTGGTTTGGAAGATACTCCTTATCTGGGTTGAGGCTGCAACTTCCCTTGCCAACAGATTTACAGCTTGAGGGTCATCTTGGCCAACCACATGCTATTTAACTGAGACTGGAGAAGCTGTGATCAGAATGCCTGATAAATTAGTTGCTCCCAATTTCTAGAGAAGTGAGAGTCCTGGCATCCATGATTATGGGCTGGTAATGTCAGGAATAATTTAAAGTAATGCATTTTGTAAGTCCTCAGTGATGAAGCTGGAATGTGTAGTTTGTCCAGAATGCTGCAAGACAGGTGACAAGTGATGCTTCCAGGAAATTCTATATCATTCCTACAATGAAATTGCTAGACAGAATATAGATTGTTTCTCAAGCTCAAACCAAGTTACTAAGAAGGATATAAAAAGTTTTGTGTATCTTTGGACCAGATTATTTGGTGGCTTGTCTACACAATATAATTGGTCCTGCAATCTTAAATCTTTATTGGAGTATCATTTGCTCCATTGTATGTTTATGGTTAACACAGATATGTATTCCTGTCCATTTTGTAGCTGGATCTATGCCACAGAGCTGAGGCTAGACACAATTGTGGGTGGGTAGGTGAGGAATTAAAGCCATTATTTCAAACTAGCTCTTTGATATCTTTCTAGGATGGGTATTAATTATTCTTGCATATTGTGACTTGTAATTTATCTAGACCCATGAATAGGGATAAGGTTTCATTACTTTAAAATAAAAAATGTGCACCAATACAAAGACACACTACGTACTATGTGAAATGCTTGAAGAATAGAGCTAACATATTTATAAAAGTATTTAGCAAAAGTAGCATACGGGAACAAAGCCTAAGCCTTTGCATGGCAAAAGGCATCTTGATGTTGCACAAACATGCTTTTAGTCCACACATACTGTACTTTGCCACACTTTTCTTTATAAATCTGAGAACTAAGGAACTTATTTAGAAACATAACCCCCAAGATTTTCCCCAAAAGGCTATTATGCCTGTGATAATAAGGTATAACTCTAGTGCAGCAAGTTTCTACATCTAATGTTTATATGTAGGCAGTCCCAACAAAACTAATGGCTTTGAAACTGGACCATTTATCATGCCATGGTCTCATAATTTTGCATACTATAGGGATGGAAGGGTTCAGGTCCACAGCTGCTGGGCACGTCAGATTTATAGAGTGAAAGCACCTGAGCTCTCTCTCCTAGTCCTTTGGGGAAACTCCAGTTTTTTAGGACTGATTAATGATACAACGTTAATGTAGCAGCCATTTATCCTGCTTCATAGTTTGAGAAGTTCTACACTGAGCAGATGATGAAGTCCATGGATTTGCAGTGATTTAGCACCTTTTGCTCCAGAGAATTAATGTCTCCAATATGCCAGTAAATCTACTAAATGAAGCAGTTTCTTGATGGCCATTTTCTATGATGGATGATCTGAAAGAATGCCAAATTTTATCACTTAGCCCCAAATCTGAAAAGGCAAGGAAAGACAAAGCAGGAAGGGGCTTCACATTTCAAAACATGGCCCAATTCAGTTTGCAGTGTTTGTGTCTATATTTTCCTCCTCCTAAATTGCATTTGGAATCCTAACCACTGAGAAAGCTCTTTCTGGACAACCGATCCCTCATTGCGAAGAGCAACTTCAGGGCCCCACAGTTGGTATCCATTCCGTCTCTTAGAGCAAGTGTTGCCAACAAGACATTAAATGGTAAATAGCAACCAAGCATTTTATCTGGTAACCACCAGGGAAAGCCTGAGAAGTGACTTTAAAAAAAAAAAATCTCATGAGCCCCAGGAAATCACTAGGCTAAAGGGTCTATAATAACTCACCACAGTCAACTTACCATGGGACAATTTGCTATGGTCTACTTCCCACAGGACAACTCGCCACAGGACAATTCGCTGCCAGAGAAGAGTTGCACTAATATCAAAGAAATAGTGGAATAGGATCATTAAAGAAAGGATGCCAATGGAGGGACAAAATGAAATGTGAATGACAAAAATAAAAAAAAAATGTAAATAATTAAAACGATTGTTGAATTGTCCTGCAGTGAGTTGTCCCGTAGCGAGTTGGCTATGATGAATTGTCCGCCAGCAAGTTGGCCATGGTGAGTTGGCTGTGGCGAATTGGTCGTGGCGAGTTGTCCCATTCTAAGGGATGCTAAGGGCTTTGTTCTGCTGGGTTACATAAATAGTACAATGGATTCTGCAAAAACTGTTTGGCTGCTTAAGGAAGAAAGGTGTAGAGGTGTCATGTATTCCTCTGTTGCAGTGGCTCAGACTAACCATCATGTAGATAGTGATCATCATCAAGTCTTGAGTTATGTGGTATTGTATACGCATACGCAGGAAGAGCAGAATGGATGTGGCACGGAACAGAGCAACTCACTTAAGAACTATGCTTTTGTTCTTGGCTTTCATGATTAGGGGGAAAAACTGGATAATAAAAAAAATGAGTTTTTTTGTAATCACAGAGTAAGGGATAATTCTGTAATTGCACTTATATTTGCTGCAAAGGAAATTAGAAGCTTCTTCTTTCTATTTCTTTCTCTTTGCACATTGCTGTTTTCTTCTTCTTTTTCTTCTTTTACTTTATTAGTTTGCTTTTTGTAAAACCTTTTATTAAAAAAAAAAAAGGATTGTTCGAAAGGCATTGCATGTACACCAGCTATAAATTGCATTTGTGAGAGAGTGCCCATAGGGTAACAGTTACAGGAAGGTGAGGGTCCTTTATGATTCAGCAGAAATATGCCCTGCATCTATCTCATTAACAAAACAAAACAAAAATGCACCCTTCATAACTGGAATTGTTGTCCCTTTAAATACATTATAATATGCAAACATAAAGACACCCTTGAATCAAGTGTGATTCCTGCTAATTGCAGGCAGTCCTCATTCAACAACTGGTTGCTTAGCGACCATTTGAAGTAAAGACAAACTCGATCCAAAAACTACTAACAACCTGTTTCTGGAGTTCCAATGCCCCCACCCCCACCCCAGTCACATGAATGAATTTGGGTGCTTGGCAACAAGTTCATGTTTACAGTCAGATCGTAGTATTCCATGTCACATGACCAGGATTTCTGATATTTTTGCTGCCTTTTCAGCCAGTTTCTGGCAAAAAAAAAAAACCACCCACAGAAATAAATGGACTCGCTAATAAGTGTGGTATTCCTTCAACAACCACAGTGTTCACTTAACAATCACAGCATTAACTTAACAACCTCTACAAAAAAAGTCATATAATCAGGTCTAATCACAGGGGTACCCTGATTTATGGATATAATGACTTTCAATGGAAATTCCAGGCTCCATTATATTCATAAAAGTTGAAGACTACCAGTGCATGGAGATACCTATACAGTTCTCTTGGCAACATTACAGAAAACAGACACAACTTGTCATTACTTTCTTTCAGAATATAGAATAGAATAGAATAGAATAGAATAGAATAGAATAGAATAGAATTTTTTATTGGCCAAGTGTGATTGGACACACAAGGAATTTGTCTTTGGTGCATATGCTCTCAGTGTACATAAAAGAAAAGATACGTTCATCAAGAATCAAATCATATCTTTTGACATCTAAGCCTAGGCTACAATCCCACTAATTCCTGTTCGTCATCCACCTAAGGAGGAACCAGGCCCAACATAGCTTATGTTGAGAGTCCAGGCAAAGTCAGCCATACAATAAGCTACAATTAATGAAAACAAATACTGGCTCCCCACCCCTAAAAACCACAGGAAGCATGTTTGCTTTCAATGTTACACACTAAAATGTCAAAGCATTCCCAGAGACGGACATGCTCAATGGCAGAAAACCTCTCACAGAATGGCTGCACGATAACAGAGAAACCTCCGTCTCCAAGTTATGTCCGACAATAGTGCTAAACAATGAGAATATTTCTGAACTAGCCAAATAAAAACATAACTTCAGAGAAATTTTAAATAATGTGATTGCTCAGATATCAAGTATACCAACATCTTATTCTCTGGTTCATCTTTATCAGATAGTATTACTGTACTGATGGGTAGGATTCCTAATAAAATCCAAGCAGATCGGCCCCTTATAACAAACTGCAGAAGTTTCCCTGCTGCAGAGATATATGTAACAATAGATCAGTTTGTGATAGCTTACAAAAGTTAGCTTTATGGGTTCTGCAAAAAAAATGCTGACTCACATGATGACTATGCACACTAATGATTCATATCTCCCAGAATAGCAAAGAACATTCACCTCTCTAAACTAACTGGAAATGGCTTCTTAGAACCGGATGGTACAATGTTGGAAAGATTTCTTGTAAGCAAGAGTCTTCCTTTATGATCCAGGCTCTACCTTGCAAGTTCAGGACGTAAGGTAGGTTATAACCCTTTAACCTCTGCTGCTTTGGAGTCCTGAGCATTTACTGGAAAATACACTACTAAGATATTGACTAACAGAACTCTCACAGCAACCAATTTCACTCGTCCTACTACAGGAAAGGAAATACAAAGATGAGAAAGGACAGAAGCAACAGGGATATGTATATCTGGGAAAACAAGGGTATCAAGGGAATATACTGGGAGAACATTGCTGTTCATTCATTGAATAATATAGAAATGAATGCTTCCTGCCCTGTTGTAGTAAATCAAATAGTAGCTGGTGAATAGATTATTTAATATAAACAAGATTCTGCCTCACCGTATTTTTAAGCAACCAATGAGTACAGTATTTTCAGGTTTCAAGTACAACCCAGACAGTAGAAGAATAGGGTAAGCATCAGCTTTTAATCAACTTCTGTACAGGTAGTCCTTGACCACAATTGGGCCCAATGTTTCTGTTGCTAAGTGAGACATTTGTTAAGTGAATTTTGCCCCATTTTATTTATTAATTCAATTTGTATGACTTTTCTTGATAAGAGTTGTTAAGTGAATAACTTTTGTTGTTGTTGTTGTTAATTGCGAAGTCGTGTCCGATCCATTGCAACCCCATGGACAACATTCCTCCAGGCCTTCCTGTCCTCTACCATCCTCTGGAGTCCATTTAAGCTCACGCCTACTGCTTCAGTGACTCCATCCAGTCACCTCGTTCTCTGCCGTCCCCTTCTTCTTTTGTCCTCAATCTTTCCCAGCATTAGGCTCTTCTCCAGTGGGTCTTTCCTTCTCATTAGGTGGCCAAAGTATTTGAGTTTCATCTTCAGGATCTGGCCTTCTAAAGAGCAGTCAGGGTTGATCTCCTCTAGGACTGACCAGTTTGATCGCCTTGCAGTCCAAGGGACTCGCAGAAACCTTCTCCAGCACCATAGTTCAAAGGCCTCAGTTCTTTGGCGCTCAGCCTTTCTTATGGTCCAACTTTCACAGTCATACATTGCAACTGACTATAGCCTTGACTATAAGCGAATAACTACCATTGTTAAATTAAAAACACAGCTGTTAAGTGAACTTGGCTTCCCCATTGACTTTACTCATCAGAAGGTCGCAAAACGGGATTGCATGACCCCAGGAAACTGCAACTGTCATAAATGTGGAGTGAGTTGCCAAGCTCCTGAATTTTGTTCATGTGACCAAGGGGATGCTGCAATGGTTATAAGTATGAAAAACAGTCATGTCACCTTTTTGAGGACTGTTATAACTTTGAACAGTCACGAAACAAACTGTTGTAAGTCAAGGACTACCTGTAATTCTCTATGAAGGACATCCAGATGATCTGTATGTGGATGGGATAAGTGAAGTCTTGTTCCATCCCAGGCTACCTCACTCTGATAATGTAAGGTCTGCAGGAAATGAGCAGAACTTCTTAAGTTTTTCTTCATTAATTCAGGGAGAATAGAAATGGAGAAGGAGAAAGAAAACAGAAGTGGGCATTTTATTAAAATCAGAAGATCAGGAATATTTTTAATGATTCAAGATAAGGCAAAAACATACTATCCTCCACGACAAGATATATACATTCAAATATCACAAGGCAACTCCTACACTATTTAATAATTACACTGAAGTAACCTCTAACCTTGCTTCCACTTCCAAGCACAGAATATTAAAAAACAACAATCAATTAATGATCAACCTACTACAAAGAAGACAACTAACAGAGTAGCAGGTGCAGACAACCAAGAAACTTGGTTGCAAAAAAGTTACAGCAAATATTATTGTGCGTATGCAGAGTATATTTTACAATCTCTTTGTAGATACTATTGAATTTTATGTATATCAGACGGGCAGGAAAGGCAAAGGTTATAAAAGCAGAGTAAAATGGGCAGCCTGTAAATTTTTTATAAATAAAGATTGCACAAATTATATTGGTCCCAGTCTTGGGATTAGAAATTTTAACTCAGCTAGTAACTTAATTTACATCACTGTGTATTCCTAAAGAGTGACCTATGCACAGCAACAAGACTACGATTCAGATGCTCAATCTGCTTAGACTTCCTAATGTATTAAATGACAAGAGAAACATAACTTTATTATGGATGAAAATGATCAGTGTCATAGTCTGGATGAGAATGCAATCCTCCAACTCATGCTGGTGGTATTTCACATTATTTCCTTAGTATAGGCCAGAGGTGGGTTGCTACCGGTTCGCCCCGGATTGGGCAAACCAATAGCAGCGGCGGTAGTGGGAGGCTCTGCCCACCCACCTGGATGTCTCTGCGCATGCGCAGAAGTGTCACATGAGCGTGTGAGTGCCCATGAGCGAACCAGTAGCAGCCGAAATTGAAATCCACTACTGGTATAGGCCAATACTGGAGCCAGTAACATTTGAAAGATTCCCATCACCCATCAAATCATAATGAAGGAAGCACTACATTTTAAAGTATAATTTAAAGTATCACTAGCAGAAAACCAATTATATAAATTATAGGGTTCATATAAAACATGTCATCCAAAGCAGTATCACACACAGACAGTAGTTAAGTAATTTTAAACTCTGGCCTTGATGGTTTTATTGAGGTCTCCTCTTTACAGTAGGTTTTACTTCTCTTATTTCCAAATGTAATTTATCCAATATTCTATATCTGGAGGTTCTCTTGCTTACTGTCTGAATGGTCCCAGAGCTACTTCAAGGTCCTGTAAATATTCCTACACCTTCTGGCCATATGAAGCATGGCTGTATACAGGTAGTCTTTGAATTATAACAGTTCGTTTAGTGACCATTCAAAGTGCCAACGGCTCTCAAAAAAGTGACTTATAACCATTTTTCACACTTATGACTGTTGCAGCCACCTCATGAACACATGATCAAAATTCAGACACATGTTATTTCAAGTATATTGTTTTCATAGCAAGATTACACAAAATAAACAGAACACAAAGATACAAGAACCTGAGGTATGTCTCAATTTGTTCTCCCAACAGAAAACTATGGTTCCCTGTTATATGTGAATCAGCCAATAAATGCAACTATTATTGCAGAGAGCAATAACACAAAAATCCACTCAAAGTAGAGGAACCTGGTAACCTAAAATAATACTTTACATGAAGCTTTATGCTTCTAGAACAAAATATAATACCTTAGAATATACGGAGATGTTCTATCCAGAGAAGGAACTTTAGCATTTGTTATCGTTATCTAGTTATATAGCTTTCAACTAAATTCTTCCTCTCCAAAGTCTCTCCAATCATTGTTTTGAATCAATGGAAAATTGGGCCAGTGTACAAACGTAATCAGGACACATGGTGGGACTAATATGGAAGAAGACAGCTCCCAAACAGTTGCCTCCAGCTGCCTCTTCCTGCATTCTCTCCATTCCATTAAAATGCCTCTACCTAATTTTGTGACAGTCCCACAAAACCAACAGGGGCATCTAATCAGTCTTTGGACTACTGCATGGCTACCACTTTTTTCCAAATTTCTTATTTGTGAATCAGGTAGAAGGGAACCAGAAATGTAGCTTGGGTGGGGGGGCACTTCTAGATATCTTTGACTTCCAGCTAAGGTGTCCGCTGAATGATAGATCTACAAAACGAAGGAGGGCATAGGTAAACCCAACTCACCAGGCCACCATTATAGTTGCAAAATAATCCAGAGAGATGACAACATACATTGTGATCAGGTGTTAGATTAAGAAGGGAGCACAAGTTCTTCTGTTCCCAAAACAAAGCAGCAACCCTTTGAATCGGGCTACACAATCTAATTGTTTTAAATCATTCAGATTACTAAAAATCAATCCCCATGTTTTCTGTTTTTGGAAATCTCAACCTGGTCCTGCCCTTTGCAAAACAAATAAAGAAGATGGATAGAGAATAAATAGATTGTGGACAATAATCACGCTGATATCCGTGTTTCCAATAACTACCTACTGCCTTTTATTTTATTTTATTAATGATTGGCTATTGTTGCCATTGAAACCTGGAATTCTGAAACCTTAAGTCATAATCACTACGCTAATGAAGTCACGGTTTTTTGGCAGCTGATAATCCCTTAGAGATCTGTATTAATGGCTTTTCATAAAGTGACTGCTTTTAACAACTGCTGAACACAACGGTGCTTGTGTCAGGTAGGTGAGTATTTGCATAGCGTGCCTTTATTTTTTCCAGGCTACCACATTCCTGATTTAAAAGTGGCAAAAAAAGGTGACATAATCATTTGAGGGATTTCCCTTTGGGGAAAAACCAGTCAGAAAAGAATGGCTGGTGTCAATAGAGCTTTTCCATCTGCTCCCCCCCTCCCCCAGATGTGGTCTGGAGTCTTAGGTGACACTAAGCCCCAAAAGTCAATGAGCATCTGTTCTTTTCCTCCACCCACTGCAATCTGCCCCAAACTGCCGGTTCGACAGCCATCAATCAAGCAATAATATGCTGACCACAGGACCCAGTGGGACATCATTTTCTAAGTCAAATGCAGCAGTTAGCATAAATAAAACACTGCACCATGGTTGCATGAGTGTGTTTCTTTCTCTCTCTCTCTCTCTCTCTTTTCTCTCCTAATGATTCTGCAGCTGCTGTTAAGAACTCTGCACGCAATGAAAGTGAGAAAAATAGGCAGGGCAGAATGGCTATTCTGCACTTCTGAGTCATAACAATTATGAACAATTTTCCATGAATTTTTAAGGACCAGTTATCCTGCACAGAGACCTTCCCCAAGTAAAAGGGAGATAGGTCAGAGTACGATTGACAGTTATTTTTATCCTAATAGACAAGCACAACTAACCAAAGCTGGAACCTACCTGCACCTCAGTTTTGATATTCAATCTAGAGCTCTGATTTGGGCTTCCTAAGTTTAGTTTAATGGTTCAGAAACCAGCAAAAACGAGGAAGACTTTTTCGCACTATCAAATTTTGAACACTGGAAAGCTGCATAGAAGTATTTTTTTTAAATAAGTGTTTTCTTTAAAAATATTACCCAGGCATTATGGGTAGCATGGCAAACATTGCTAAGTACAACAGAGCATAGGTTAAAAAAAAGTATCACAAGGATAACTATTTTGTTTTAGCAGTTGAATGTATTGAATGTCAATATTTTATGTGAAACCAATCAATTCAATTTTATGATCTGATTAGGTTAAGCCTTAGGCAAAAAGCGGTCCTAGGTATGTAGTTAATTTTTAACTCTACTATGAGGTCATTTATCTCATAATTGGTGCTACCATTATGGTCTGTTTTAACACTATCATCACACTGCTAATTTAAAGTTGACACTTGTACACAAAAATGAGTTGCACACTCCTACATATTTCAGACGTCAGAATGTGCATATCTGTTTGTGTAGTGGAGAGTGTTCTGGCATTACATTTGAGGACTCATCACTAGATGGCACCCACAACTGATTTGCATGCACAGCTTCCAGCCCAGCCAAAAAATGTTGACGGCATACTTGATGCATCATGAACACAATCAAAAGCAAGTATAAACTGTTCAACCCTCCTGGAAATTAAAAGCAATTTAATTGCAGTAGTGAAGTGCTTGTATCCTATTGGTATCAGCCAAAATCTTAGGCTAAATTGCTTGTTGCCCTTTTCTTCAGAAAATCTACATGTATCAGTTGTGAAAGATATACAAACCCATGAACAATGAAGATCTGCAGCCAAGGGTAGCTTCATTGTGGACTATAAAAAACAACCTTTTGATTTCCTGATATTTTGAATTACAATACGACCATTGCCAGGCTAGCTGAGGTTAGCCCAAATTCTTGGTTGATTTTGCTGGAGGAAGAGTTAGTGTGATGATAATAGATTAGATTGTGATAGGTTAAAGTCTACTCTTAGCCATGGAAGTTCATTGCAGAATGCGGCCGCGCGGGGGATTATGGGAACGAGGGGTCGCTCCCATGTGACACCTCTCCTGCGTGAGCTGCATTGGCTTCCAGTGGTCTTCCGGGTGCGCTTCAAGGTGTTGGTTACCACCTTTAAAGCGCTCCATGGCATAGGACCTGGGTATTTGCGGGACCGCCTTCTGCCGCCGATAGCCTCCCACCGACCAGTACGCTCCCACAGAGAGGGACTCCTCAGGGTGCCGTCAGCCAGGCAATGTCGGCTTGCGACCCCCAGGGGGAGGGCCTTCTCTGTGGCAGCTCCCGCCCTCTGGAACGATTTGCCCCCAGAGATAAGAAGGATATTGGATCTCCGGGTCTTTCGCCGTGCCCTGAAAACTTTTCTTTTCCATCAAGCAGGGCTGGCGTGATACCCCCCCCTTTTTTTTTTAGTTTTTTAGTTGTTTAGCTTTTAATCTGTCAATGGGTTTTAATTCGAATTGTCTTAAATTTGGGCCAAAGTATATAATTCTTTTAATAATTTTAAATTTTGTATTGTTATGTGTTTTAGTTCTGGCTGTGCACCGCCCTGAGTCCACTAGGAGAAGGGCGGTATATAAATTGAATAAAATAAATAAATAAATAATTGCTGACTTTGGACCAGTTTCTTCTTCTCTCAGCCCCCTGTACCTCAAAGGATGGTTGATTAGGAGAAATGTATCCTGTATTGATCTCTTCAATGAAAGACGGGATCTAACTAATAAACTCATAAGAAACAGCCAGTAAATACAGAATTTGTTTGATGAAGAATGAAACACTAAAAGCAAGTAATTAAACATATCTATACATACTGTACAAGGAAATAAATGAAAACATGTTCCCAATTTTTAGACAGAGGTTCTCCTACTTTCGTTAGGTACACAAAAAGACAACACCAGAGTACACTAGTTGGGTATATATGAATAGTAACTAATGCTGCCAACTCCACTAAAGGAAAAACAAACTCAGAGCAAATTATAGAAAAAAGGAAAGTCTAAAGTCATAAAAAATAATTGTAAGGATAGAGAGCTGCTTACATATTCTTATCTTGCTCCATCTAATATCAAATGACAGAACATTGGTACATGACAGAAATAAAATGAGATCAACATATTCAGGTTTCATTAAATCACATCCTCTGGAACTAACACATTGCTCATCTGCAAATGTGACATGAACTAGATCTTGTCTCCAGCGCAATAATCCCTCTGAACTCTTAGGACTCAGATTCCTCATTAAAAAGAGAAAGAGACGAAGTTTCTAGTCTACAAGGCTACTGAGGACCCAGTAACATACCGTGTTTCCCCGAAAATAAGACCCTGTCTTATATTTTTTTTGAACCCTGAAATAAGCGCTTGACCTTATTTTCAGGGAGGTCTTATTATTTTGGGGCGCATGGAGGAAACCAGAGGAAATAGTGGGGACTGGCTGCACATGTGTTTAAATATTTTCGGGGAGGGCTTATTTTTTGGGGGGGCTTATTTTAGTGCATGCGCTCAAAAACCCGATTGGGCTTATTATCAGGGGATGTCTTATTTTAGGGGAAACAGGGTACACAAGTTCTGAACAGATTTTGTGGTAACATATACAGCAATTTAATTCTTTATGACAAAGGGCAAATTCATGATCTGCAAACTATTATCCTATTACAGTATTAAACTACTATCAGAGGGATAGAATCAATATCACCAGGAGTGATACTACTGCATTCTAGTGCCTTAGTAAGACCACACTTGGATTACTGCAGCCAATTTTGGTCATCACAATATAAAAGCGATGTTGAAAGAGTACAGAGAAGAGCGACAAAAAAATTGGGGGGGGGGGGTGAAGACTAAAACATATGAAGAATGGTGCAGGATTTGGGTATGTCTAGTCTAGTGAAAAGAAAAACCTGGGGGGTGACATGATAGCAGTGTTCTAATATTTGAGAGGCTGCCATAAAGAAGAGGGCATCAACTTATTTTCCAAAGCACCAAAAGGCAAGACAAGGCGCAATGGATGGAAACTGAATAAAGAGAGAAGTAATTTAGAATGAAGGAGAAATTTCCTGACAGTAAGAAAAATCAACCAGTGGAACAGCTTGCCTCCAACACTGAAGGCTTTTAAGACAAGACTGGACAGCCATTTGTCTGGAATGGTACAGTGATGGCTAACTTTTTTGCCGTCGCGTGCCAAAAGCAGGGGTCACATGGGGGAGGCGCATATGTGTGTGCCCACACCCATAATTCAATGTGCTCCGCCCCCGTGCATGTGTGCGTGACCCCCCTGCGCTCCCCCCACTTTTGGCATGCGATAGCACAGTGGGCCCAGTAGGTCGCCCTCTCCAGGCTCCAGAGGCTTTCTTGGAGCCTGAGGAGGGAGAAAATGGCCTCCCCTGCTGGAGGCTGGAAACGGTCTGTTTCCCGACTTCCAGTAGGATCGGAAGTCCCATTTTTCACTCTCCCCAGGTTCCAGAGGCTTTCTAGGAGCCTGGAGAGGGTGAAAACGGCCTTCCTCACCCCCCAGAGGCCCTCTGGAGGCCGGAAATGACCCATTTCCCAACTTCTGTTGGGCCCGGAAGGCCCGAAAATCAGCTGGCAGGTGCACGCATGCACACTGAACCTGAGCTAGGGCAACGCTTGTGTGCCCACAGATATGGCTCCGCGTGCCACCTGTGGCACACATCATAGGTTCGCCATCACGGGTATAGGATCTCCTGCTTGAGCAGGAAGAAAACCTCCAGGACCCCTTCCAATTCTGTTATTTTGTTAACCACAAAATAGGAAAACTATAATTTACTACGAGTAACTTTTTGAATACTGGAGAATATTGAACCTGGTTTTCCACAACTCCATTATCCAAATTCTATGCATGGACCACATTTTCACTCCATGCCCCCCCCCGTAACACATTTTAAACAGTGCCCCAATGAATATTACATAGAAGAAAGTACATGGATTCTACCTTACAGTGCCACTGCAGATCCTGGATGTGTTTTTATAGTACTCCTTCCAACAATATTTGTTGTTACTATCCTTATTTTTCTGTGAAGAAGTAATTGATTTATGTTGTTATCAATCCTTGCTGCTACACTCAAAACCAAGTCTCTCATAAAATATTTTCATTTTCGCATTTTCAACCAAACAAAGAAAAAACTGCATCCCTTAAATTCACAAATCCCCTTTCACAATTGGTGTGTGTTGTATGTCCTGAAACA